AAAAAAGGATTTTATGTTTTGTTAAAATTTTCTGTTTTTGCAGTCTTTATCAGGTCTTTAATTATATAAGTTTTAACTGGAACTCTGTGACTTTCTGTATTTCCCTTTTAACGTCTTCCATTGTTATCATAGTTAAATGGATGACTGTTATTTCATCAATCTTATTTGACCAAGTGTTTTAAAACTTTGATATTTTTGACAAATTTCTCCAAATCCAATTCTAAATAGTCTTTTTGATCTTGAACTAACTTCGGGTTTTCCAAGAAGTCTCTAAAACATCTCAATAGATTTGTTCTCCTTACAAAAAGAGAAAGATTAAGCCCTTTAGGGTTATTTGATATGTTAAATTACATGAGAAGCATTTTCCAATAAGTGATGATAAACCATCTTAGGTTATGTTATGCAGGTAAATGTTATTAATATAAATATTTTAAGAATTATATGAAATTCCTGGAAATCTGATGTCTTGGTATAATGTAACTGGCCATAATTCCAGTTATTATCTTAAAATATATGGAAAACCAAATTTTCTTGTCAACTCCATTATAATGAACTTGCATCACATCTTTAATAATGGGCATTTTAAGTCTTTTGTCATTTACAGGGAGTTATGGTTTTACTCTGATGCTTTTAGAAAAGTGTTCCTACAGAAGTGATTGGTCTTCAAAGAGATTCATGGGAAGAGCTCAGAAAAAGTGCAGGTTTCTGGTAACTTTGAGATCATAAGTTGAACTGGGTAAAAATTTCCAGAACTAATGTAAAAACTAGATTCAAGTGGAATAAGAATAACATGGTATTGAATGAATGGAGGAAGATGATTATAATCTTTATGACTTCTAGTTTTCAAACACTACTGGTACTTTAATGTTTTGCTTGCTACATTAAAAGGAGCCCTTTTATTCTTTTCTTTAAAGCTATCTATGAAATACAGCAATTTGGTAAAATATAACTTTGTAAACAAAGATGAAATATTTACTTTTTCTCCCTACCTGATCCCTCCAGAATTTTGAAACTCTTGAGTACTTTTTCACATGGCAATATAGTTAGTTATTTACATAAATACAATGAGAATCTGTTCTCCTTGTAATAACAATTGGAAATATTGGCTACTTTACCAAGACTCTGGATTATTTTGAGAGAGATGTGCATAAACTCAGATTTGACAGGGCAGTTTTTAAGGAACTAAGGCTACTTTATGGAGCCAGTAAACCTCCTCATAAAAAATCGACTTGGCACCTTGCTTACAAGGTTCTAGCAAAGCAGTCTTAAAAAGAGCTTATATGGTCAATCACTGTTCTTGCTAAACTTGTGTAAATAGTCAGGCCAAGTTTAATGCACACAAATTAGTTTTACTGTGATTATCTTTAGTAAATATCAGGGAAAGTATAGAGAGAAAAATCATGTTTGCACATTTGTCTGTATTAGATTCTAATCCTGTTAAACTGTACTAGATCCTGAATTCTTCTGGTTTTCTCAAATATCTGCCTACCACTCTCCAAACTAATGTTTCCAATTTTTCCCATGCTTCTGATTTGGATCAAAGACTGCCCTTGAACCTCCTTGAAAGGAACTATACCAGGTCCTCCTCATTACCCAAATGACAGCCCGACTTCAGGGGTTTGAATCTTGGACATACATCCCACAGCTAAAGATGGCTGCACCTGACATCTGGTCTTTACAAACCCTGGAGATTTTCAACCAAATGGAAGAGAAATAGTGGACATCAAGGCAGACTGCTTCCACTCAAGACACCACATCAAGACTTCATACTTTAAACATAAAGTCTTTTTCCCCTTCTTTCTTTTACCTTGGCATTGGCCTGGAAAAAATAAAGCCATCACCTCTATCTTCCTAGGCTGTTGCTAGGGGGATAAACTCTGGAATTTAGAACTTTTTTTTTTTTTTTTTTTTTTCAGGCTAAGAGAAAACCTGATTCCTGATATCTGATCTATTTAGCTGGCTACTTTCAGGTTTGGGCTCCTCATGTAGGACCTTATACAAACTAGATTTATTTGAGAGAGAGAGAGAGAATACAAGCATGAGGATGGAGAGGGACAAGCAGACTCCACACTGAGCATGGAGCCTTATGTGGGGCTCGGTCTCAGGACCCTGAGATCATGACCTGAGCCAAGCCAAAATCAAGAGTGGGACGTTTAACCAACTGAGCCACCCAGGTGCCCTCCCAAACTAGATTTATTATTCTGCTTCTCTTTGTGTGTTGTATAATCATTTAAAAATTTTGTGCCTGTTGCCTGTTGAACCTTTGCAGAAATAATCTGTCCAATAGGGTGATGCTGGCTCAGCATTTCAAGATGATCTCTAATGCTTACAGCCTTGATAAGACAGAGTCTTTAAGTGGGAAATGCCTGAGAGTTCTCCATTCTATCCCTTGTTACTCAAATGTGTCCTTAAATGGTTTCCAATAATCATGCTCTTTCCTTCCACAGTGGGACATGACAACCAGGAAAGGTCCTTCCTGGCACCAAGGGACAAAAATCACTAAATATAGAAAACCTGACTCTTGATCGGCAATGCCTTCAAGGAATGTTTAAAACAGTACCTCCTGACTTCCTATTTTCCTTTCCAGGCTTGCATGTCCTGAATTGCAATTCCCAAATAAACTCATTTGCTGCTTGATAACCTTTGTTTTTTTAATTTGTTCAAATTTTGATACCATATACTAGATCTCTGATTGGAGCTGAGAATGCCAAATCCAGTAAGGAGTTTGGTCACAGAATATAGGGATATCACTACAGTATTTTCTGTATACTTTCCTGAAAGTAAGAATTGATGTTACATCATTTTGACTAGTCAACACTTTGCTCTCTTTACTCCTAAAAACACAGTATTTTCTTGGAGATTGGCAACATGAAAGGAGGAGTTTTCCCCAGGTATAACATTTACTGGCCAATATTTTATGTATGTACGAGTTGAGAGAATATTGTTATTGTGTACAGACTTTGGGGAGTGTATATGGCCTAAAGGGAAGACATCTTCAGGAGCCCAGGAGACAAATTTGCTTGTCAGTGGCAAAATGCCTACATTGGCCACTGTGTGTTAAAGCTTATGGGGTGGGAATTTGGGGACTAGCAAGTAGTTTGATATAAACAAAATTTATCCAGCCTGATTTAAAGCAGAGGGAGGCAACTCTGGCTCTTTGTCAAGGACCATCCACAAAGTACAAATATATCGTATTAAAATTTATCAGCATTTAAAGCTGGCAGTAATTTTTCTGAACACCATCTATGAGGTCTCTGCCACATACCTACAGTTGCACACAGACTAAGGGGAGTGGTACTAAAAAGTTTGTAAAGAAAATGTAGTATCTCAAAGTGTCCCCCTGGCTCCCAATTTTACACTTCTAGCAATCATGCGGTAACTAGTGTAATTAAAGAGCTAACTACCCAGGGTTGTGTTGCAACATCTCCCATTACCAGTAAATGTTTTGATAATACCATGGTTAGATGTTGGGATACTAAGCAGCAGGAAAAAAGCATCTGCTTAAGGAATCTGCTACCAGTTGCCACAGAAAATATATGAAAAAGGAATAGTTTTTCTAATGCTCCAACTGACCCAATATGGTAAGATTTCTTTTCAGAGCTTCGGATTACATAGCTTTGGTTGGTTGCATTGAGACTTAATTTTAGATCTAGGTTTTTACTATATTTTGTCACTGATGCCTCATGGATTAATTCCCACCTCCTTTCCTTTGTACTGACACAACTTATTGCTTTCAGGACAAAAAATATATACACAATGATCCTCCATTTTGGGTGACCTAAAGAATAGAAAAAATTTTTTGTCCCTTAAAAGGCAGTAAAAAGTAAAAAAATGAAGATTGCTGAGTGTTTTTTCTTTGTACTCTAAAACTTAGGATAGAACGAAGTTTTTATCCCATGCCAGGTTGCTACAACTGAGATACATCAGTAGGAAATTTTGCCACATAATCATTGAGGTCAGATTCTTTATTATTACTTTTTTAGTAAAATTTCAGACTATAAGAAACAAGGGCTAATTCTCTTTAGGGTAAAACCAGAGCTTGTTTACCAATGCAGTAAATAAAAACAGTAAAGTCTCACTTTTGATACCTGATGTATATGGTTGAACTACAACATTCATCTACATAAAATGATTGATTTAGAAGTTTCCATATTCTAAAAGGTTTCCATAATTTTAGGAATATCGACTAAGATTATCAAGTTCTATGTAAGCATCAAAACAGTACAAATATGCTAGAGAAATTTATAATGTATTATATCCAATTATGTCAGCGGGCTATGAATCATATCCAATTATCAAGATGCATAAGTGCCTTTTATGTGACACTCAAACATGATTAATTTTGTGCTTAGCATAAGCTGCTCAAATGGTATGATTTCAGTGATTTCTAGCATCGATATTACAACATCAATATAAATTCAATGCAAATTGGAAAATGAACATCTTCATCTTGTTTATATCTGTGAAAAGGCATTTACTGAACACAGGAACACACTGAACCAACAGTTGCTACTGGAAAAAAGAATCTGGAAGGAACACAGAGAACCTAAATAATAGGAATCAGTACACAAGGCAATTCCAGAGAAAGCCTAGGTAACCAGTCAAAGCATTCTCAGAGGCTCTGTTTTCAGGTAGTTACGGAAGTAAAACCAATATAACTGTTACAAATATGAAATGAAGAAACTGACATTCTTACCTCATAACGAACTGAATTGATCAAATTCAATCCTCACCATAAATTGCCCATTTGTCTTAGTATTTATAAAATGGATTCCTTGTTTGGAATATCTCAGTTTAGTATATATCTAAGTCAATTAGAAGTTAAAATTTTTTTCTACAAGTAGTTTTACAGTATGGATTCTAATTAAAAATGTTTGACTTCTCATTTAACTTCTAAAAAGTAGAGCTCCTACATACTGCAGAGTAACATGTTTAAGTAATTATATGTCAATCTTGAATTCAAGCAATTAAAATTATTTTAAAAATCCAGAGAAACTTACCTCAAAGTCAAGGTCTGAATATCGTGATTTTCTTCTCTGTTAGATTTTTTTAAAAAGAAGAAAAACCAATATAAAGTTATGTTTAGTCATTCAAATAAAATGAAAATTATTATTTTCAATAAAATGTCCTGCATCTTTGTATTACAAGTATTTCCTTCACAGAAGAATATGTTGAAATTTTTATGATTTCAAACTCTTTCATCCATATTATTTCATTCTTACTTTGAAGAAGAATATAAAAATACAGAGTATTTCTCATCTTGACCTCAACTAATTTTTCAGTAAGAATTTAATATAAATTCACCCAAAAATTTCAATCTTGAAGGAGACTTTAGGTCCATATAGCAAAGCTATATTTTTTTTACCTTAGAGACACAAAGGATTAAAAGCCATATAGGAAAAAATCATCTAGTCATCTCAAGACTTCCCACCAGCCTATCTCCAGGCTTCATTTCTATTAAAATCTCGCTGGCCTTCTTCTGTCTGAGTCCTAAAGTTCTCTATGTCTCAATCACAGATTTTTTGGTATTTAATAATTCTCCATGATAGGAAAGTCCTAATTGCTAGTTCTTAGAAACAGAAGTATCTATTCTAATTCAGTAAAAAAAAAAAAAAAATAGTCCACACCCCCGAGAAACATAAATGTAGATTTCAATATCTCAATGTTCCTCTATGACTCCAACTCTGTTAAACAGCTCCTGATTCTAGTTATAGATCAATATGTATTAGTAAAATGATTAGGTGATAAGCCTGATAAAGTCAGGAAATATTACTTAAATGAAATTAATGTGACTATGAGTATTAGTGTAGGATAGGTACACTTAGCATGTGCTCAGAGGGATTTGATATAGAAGGAGGTATCTGGTAAATGTAGAAAGGGTCCTCCAAATTTTTAGAGAACAAAAGAAAGTTTCCAATATGAGGGTGTTTTTTTTTTTTTAATTTGGATTTTTTTGGAGGAAGTGGGGGTGAAACAAAAAATAAATATTAAAAACAAGTAATATTTAGGCAGTTGAATACCATGTAAACCTTTCCTTTCTCTTCTGCTGTCCCATTACCTATCCCAATACCTACCTTAAGTTCAAATGTATCAGGGAATCCTACCCATGGTAGTTGATTCTTGTAACTGCTAAATAGTAGAGACAGACAGGCACTAATGTAGTTTATTGAAAAACCTGCCTATGTTTTTGCAGCTAGAGTTACAATGTCACTGTAGAACCAGAGCCTCCCTATGTAACCAACTCCCCAAAGCATGCTTCACTAGACAGAAGGGGATATACTAAAAGAAAGATTTTGTTAAAAAAAAAAAAAAGTCAAAGTTTTGAAATTATTTGATTTTGGTGGAGCTGGATTACAGAATCCAGTCTTCAAGTATGATCAAGGAGAAAACTGAGAAGGAGACTGCTTTATTAAATGGCAATAGCATGTTGATGTCATTTTGGTCCTTGTCTCTGGCATCACCGTAGCCTAGCTCCGGTGACATCCTGGAAGGCGAAACGTGTGCAGGAAGGCATTTAACCCAGGCCTCCTTTGCCCTCTCCCGCCACTATTGTTATCTAACTGCATTGTATAAAAATCAGGCTCCCATGTGGGGCATCACACTTTGCTGCAATATGCCATACTGAATGTCAGTGCTTCCATTCTCCTCTTGAATGCTTTGCCTTCTTGGCACTGTGACTCAGCAAGATATTTTTGTAAGTATACATTAAGCAAAATTCTTTCCTTAATACACAAAATGCAAGCCTGGGAACAGTTTTAAGAAGTTCCTATAGAACATTAATCATGAGCTTTGCGTTCCATTTGAAAATTAAATAGTGAGATCTTATGAAAAAGGTTCTGCTAGCCAGCAAGAGACCCTTCTGCTGCACGCATTGAGGGGTTCTCTGTTGCCAAAGGTCAGAACAACCATACGCTGCTCAGTTTCTGAATGCAAAGCTGTGTAGCCTAAGAACTGGAAATGCTGATGGACACATTATCACTAAAGGCTCCATATTTTAGGAACAAGCACAAAAGATGGGACCTAGAACACCAGAGATTTCGCTTCTGATGGGTGATGTCACCTATGCACCTATATTGATATAAAATATGAAAAAGAAAATGGATATACTCCTATAAATAGATTTCTCGCTCTTCTATTGAATTCTATGAAAATTAAATTCTAACATAAACGTATAGCATAACTAGCAGCCTTGAGGGATTAGATGAAGAAGTAAACAAATGAAGCACACAGATTTCAATCTAAAAAGCTTAAAGATGATGGTGGTGGGGATAAGCAGTGAAGACTTAAAAATTAGAGAATGGGCAAAATGTGGCAGATTTTCAGAACCCATGGGAGGTTAAAATTTGTGTCCTATTATTCATATCCCCACAATACTGACCAAGTGTACCAACCTTTCATAGTTTATAAAGTGCTTTCACCTTTGAACATGCTACCTGCCCTGTGGGATGGTCAGGAAAGTATTATTTTTTGTATCCATTCTATGAATTAGGCACACTGTGGACCAGTGTAGTTAAAATGACTTGTTCACTTAACCTGGGTAGTAAGCAAATGAGCTGGGATTCACACCCAGGTCTTCTGACTCCAAACCCTGTGTTTGATCCACTATCTCCCACTACTAGGTCAGGGGTAAAAGTGGTAATATTTTGTAGTCAAGATGCCTGTGATATTTTATTGATTGTTACTGGAACTCAGCAAGAATAACAATGCAGGACCCAGTCAATCCAAGGCTGACAGCAGTGGGACAGAGATGCTTTCTAGCCATAAAGTAAGTTTAAGCAGATTAACTTTTATTTGTCAATTATATTTTAAAAGAGAAAAAAAGCATCAGCAGGATACTTTGAGAGAAAATCTAATGGCAACGTAAAAGAATTTGTGTTGACTAAAATAACTTAAAAACCATTTGAACATGGGATACTTTATGAGCAATGATACAGGAACACATAGTAGCTGACCTCCACCTCCGTGATGTGTCTCCCATTCCAAAATCCTAGTTTATCTTAAAGAGGTATCTAGCACTGGGAATCGTGGTGTAATGCAAGAACCAGTGTGTTCAATTCTGTTATCCTTGGTATACTTGCAGTATGTTGGAAAGTCTTCTAAAGCACTCAAGTTTGTGGAAACTGACTGACTTACATGTTTATTCAAATGTCCCTCTGAGTTTGCTGGGAAGTTACTGAAAGGTATAAAGGTGGTTAGAAAAAGTGGTTATGTGTTTAAAAAATGAGAATCTATTAAAAAAAAGTGATCAAGCGGTGCCTGGGTGGCTCAGTCGTTAAGCGTCTGCCTTTGGCTCAGGTCATGATTCCGGGGTCCTGGGATCAAGCCCCGCATCGGGCTCCCTGCTCGGCGGGAAGCCTGCTTCTCCCTCTCCCACTCCCCCTGCTTGTGTTCCCTCTCTTACTGTGTCTCTCTCTGTCAAATAAAGTCTTTAAAAAAAATGATCAAGACATAACAATTTTTCTGATTAAGTTGACAACTGAAGAACTGCTACACATAAATTTAAAATAAGCCAGGGTGGTGTTAAAATATTTTATGAAGATCTAAATCCCTCTGCCTATATATATCCCCAACTTCTCAAATAACTTGATACAAAGCATCCTTTTTGTCACAGTAGGTGATAAAAAAAATCTCTTCAGTTCTTCTTTGTGGTTTCCTTTCCCTAATTTTCCACTTAGAACTCATCCTAACTTGTATTCTATCCTCAACACTCCATTAAAATTCTTCTTGTCAAGGTCTCTGAGGAGCTGCATCTGGTCAATTTCCAAGGTTAACTTTCCGTCCTTAGCTTGCTGGACTCTCAGAAGCTTTTGAAAGTTAATCATTTCCCCCAATAAAACACATGATCTTAGCTTTTCCTCCCTTCTCCCCTCCTGTTTGCTGTAGCTCATTCTCAAGTGTCCTTTTGCTGGCTCTTCCTTATCTCATTGTCTTCTAAGTGTTGAGTTCCTGAATTCTCTTTTTTTCTCATCTTCTCTCCTGGATGATAGCATTCATTCCATGGTGGTAAATACTATTTAAGTTCCAAACACTCTTCTTTTTTTTTTTTTTTTAAAGATTTTATTTATTTATTTGAGAGAGAGAGAGAATGAGAGATAGAGAGCACGAGAGGGAAGAGGGTCAGAGGGAGAAGCAGACTCCCTGCCGAGCAGGGAGCCCGATGTGGGACTCGATCCCGGGACTCCAGTATCATGACCTGAGCCGAAGGCAGTCGCTTAACCAACTGAGCCACCCAGGCACCCCCAAACACTCTTTTCTTCTTCATGTCTTTCCCATCACAGAAAATGTCAGATATCTAGTTGGTCAGGTCAGAGACTTTCCCCCATCTCTCACTCTGTACATCAAATCCACCAGCAAGTGGTATCTATTTCACCCCTGAAATCTCTCTTGATCCACCTACTCTTCTCCATCTTCACTTTCACCTGTACAGTCAAAGGCATTCTCCTGTCCTGTCTGGATAACTTCAGTAGCTCCCTAACTGTCTTCCAGCTTTCTGCTCTATCCCCACTCCTAATAATACTGGATCCTAATCCTTTCCCCCAAACCATCAAAGGGATGGATGGATGGATGGAGAAATGATTATGACAATCTTTCACTTAACAGTCCTTGTTTGCTTCAATTGTTTTACAAGGCTCTCTAAAATCTGTTTTTTTCTTCCTATGCCAATGACATCTTAAGGAGCTCACCCACTGTCACACAGGACTTCTAATCCTGTGAAAATATTCCAAACTCTTTCCTATCTCTGTATTACAGTTCCTTTTGCCTGAAACACCTCCTCAACCTCCAGAGAGATCCTCATAAGCCATGTTCCTTCTTAACTTCACCCCATATAGCACTTTAGGAGGTTTAGGTCACCTTATCAAGTCTCTCCTTACAATCTATGGTCCTTACCCAGCCTAGTACACTCTTTTAGATTATTCATTTGTTACCAGTTAATTATTTCTCTCTTCCATAGGGTTTATTCACCACAGGGATAGGATCCACATCTGTCTGGATCACTTTTATATCCCTAGCATCTGCCAAAGGGCCTGGCACAATA